CTCTCATTATCATTATACTCTTTGTTATCGATTTTCATTGTGAGGTAGGCATTCTTACTTAAGAATGTTTTCGCTGTTTAATTTCATTTGTTTTTATAATACAAGGCTAACAGCATCATATGCCTTCGATGGGCACGTGTTCGTGCTTGTCCGGCTCCCTACTGTCGAGCCATTGATGAAGTCTTTGGTCAAAAAATCTACTCAAGTGATTGCTATGTCATAGGCGAACCGATGATCTTTGATGGAGACGTTGTTGCTCAATGGTATCGACTCAAACTGAAGAATAATGGCCATGGTTATGTGAACAGCTACTATTGTCATGGCAACGTTTCTCATTGCTGATAGTATTGCACATAACTTTAATTTTATTTGTGTGTTAATTTACATTATTTGAAACATAATTATAAATCATCTAAAATAATTTCAGTTTGCGTACCATAAAAAAATGCAATAAAATCTTCATAAAACTTTCTGCTTGCAAATTAGTTTTTTTCTTGAAAGATTCATATTTTTATTATTTTGTCATTCCTCAGATATTTATTGAACGATATTCAACCTCCTTCTCCAGAAAAAGAATCGGTCTCACTACCATTCTATCTTAAAACTTAATCAATTATAATTGAAATCTTCCAGTAAATCTTCTGAAGTCATCGACACCCTTTCTGCCTCTTACTTATCGGATAGTATCACCACATGATCTGAACACGATATTTCTTTCCTATTAGCAGCTTTGCTTTAAAATATTTGTCCGGAAATATTTTCGGTCTTTGCCAGCGAAATATTGTTAAAGTTTATATTTCAATGGGAAAAGAGTCATATCTAACACTTTTTCTAAAAAATAAAGCGAAACCTATTTAAAATCAGAGGTCAAATGAATCTATATTTTAAAAAAACTTTCGCAAGAATTCGACAATTATATAATACAAGGTTTAATGCATTTGTATCTGGATGCATAGTCGATTCGCGAAATTATTCACAGAATGGCCAGAAAATGACACGATTTTTTCGCTTGAATCTATTATAAAACCAGTCTAGGCCAAAACTTGAATTGCAAAAGTGCACATATATTTTACAGTCTCAAATGAATACCAAGTTTGGGAACTACATTCATTCTGTTTTTTTTTTCTCCAAAAAGCTATATTTTAATAACGAGTATTAACCGTTACTTTAGTTTCCTATCTATGTATCACGTGTGATCCATATTCACCGAACGATCATGCACGCATGTGCACACAATAGAAGCTATGTCATAATTGTCAACAGTTCATGGAGCATGCGTTAAATATTGATTCTTCTCTCCAGGGATCTATTATTTGAGGATGGAATAATTTACAGTGATTATAAAAATGATTTAGTTAAAAACAATGTTGCTTCCGCTACTTTTACTAACCTTATCACGAGTTGTCGCTACATCTCAATTCATCTTTTATACAACGAATCATTTACAGTTTGATTGCTTGTATTATTTCATGAAATCTCTTGTTTTACCAGAATTAGTTCAGTATTGTCATGAAACGATCAACTATACTAATTCAGAACCAATTGACTTCCTCGGTACATATGAACAAACTTTCACTTTCTCTGAGTTATACCATTTGAATATGACTGCATATGATCTTCTTTCATGGTCGAAATCAGTCGATCTGGCTGAACAATATCAATATTATATCAATCAACAAAGTCAGTTATCCATGTCGAGTAAAATATTCTTCAATTGTACACAACCATGGTTTGGAACTCGATGCCAGTATTTTTTGGAATTAAACGATTCAATTATTTTGACAGATATTGATTTAATGAGTTCTTCGATCATTACTCAGACATGCTATATACTTCTAGATTGTGTTCGTGGTGGTCCATTGATGTGTCTCGATTGGCGTGAGGTGTGCGATGGTCGAATTGATTGTCTCAACGGTGCTATTGACGAAATGGAATGTTTCAATTTAGAAATAAACGAATGTGGTCCGGATGAGTATCGATGTCACAATGGTTTGTGTATTTCGAAAATCTTCTGGAAAAATGAAGAAGATACTGCTGAATGTCTTGACCAGTCAGATTTGTGGTACGAATTTGAATGTCCAACGTCATTGTTTACATTTAATGCATTTAGCATGTTTGAATGTGAAGAATATTCATGTAAACCGGGTGAACGACAATTTTCATGTGGAGATGGGCAATGTGTTGAAGATTTTGATGCATGTCAAAATGGTCGTCATCTGTTACTTGTTCAGTCGATGATTAAACTAGGAAATTTATCGGATTATTGCTGGATAGTAATGGCTTGTCTGAGTAAAATTACCGATCAGATCGATGGGAAATTATGCGAACAAATTTTTAAGACGACTCTTATTCTTAATCAGCTACAATTATGTGATGATCTTACTCAATTCCCAACAATTCCTGTTCTTTTTGGTCACGTACATTTTTTGTATGCTCCAAAAAATATATCCTATGTAAATATCGATTTAGCTTTTGTACCTGATTATGTTTGCTATGATGAACAAATGTGCCATTTTCTCATTCCTACATTTCATCATGAAATTCATGCTTGTCGACATAGTCATGAGATGGGTTTGAAATCAAATGTGACATAAGAAAGTTGGAAATCGATCATTGATGCAATCAAACCATTTTTTCGTGGTTGTCAAAATAGATATCACATTGGAAATTCTTCTGAAAATTCATCATTATATAGATGTAAGAACTCATCGAAACTCATTTCTGGTCATCGAATCATCGACAATATCTCTGATTGCTATTTGAACGATGATGAAACAGCATTTGAACTCAGTTGTTCGATGAAGGATACACAACGTGTTATGTGTCCAAATGAAATTCAATGTCGATCGCCATTATTTCGAGAATTCAATTGCCCTACTTCGATTTATCGTAGTTTCGATGAGATTTTGTTTCATGAAATATGTGATCGAATCGTTGATATAGTACCTGTAACAATTAATGGACAAAATCATACAGATGAGACTGATTGTCAAGACTGCCACTGCAATACTATTTATACACGATGTAATGGCATCCGAAATTGCCCTAACGGAGAAGATGAAGAGAATTGTACGGGATCGATTTGCCCTTCAAGATTTATTCCATGTGTTTCTCCATACAATTTTACATTGACCTGTTTACCAGTTAATCAAGTTAGTGATGGTTTCATTGATTGTCTTGGAGCATCAGATGAGCTTCAATATTGTCGAAAAGTGAATGCTTATACAGCAATTTATCAGTTTCATTGTTTAAATAGTACAAAATGTGTGAAATCTTCTGAATTATGTAATTCAGTTCAAGATTGTCCTTTAGGTGATGACGAAGAATTTTGTAAAAATCGATCACAATTATGTACCCGATACAAATTACCGAATCGTAGCCATGTGCAAGACGTACTGTGTCGTATTTTTGACACAAAAAGAATCACATTTACACTGCAAGGATCTCAAATCTATCCTCATAATCATATGAAAATGATTTCTTCTCACCCAACTTGGCCAGTAAAACGATATGACCATAATGCAAATCGGAACAACATGATATCCAAATATTTCACATGGCTGGTACGTTGTAAGAGAGGTATTCCCGTTTATCTTTGGTCGAAGTTGAAGAATTACAGTTACAGATGTTTTTGTCCACACAATTATTATGGTGATCGTTGTCAATATCAAAATCAACGTGTCAGTTTTACATTAACATTAGCAACAAGTGGTATAAACGGTATTTATTCCGTTGTTATCACCCTTGTTGATGACGATGATAATCAACAAGAAATTAATTCATATGATCAAGTTACTTATGTGCCTGAAATGAATTGTAGAAAACCAATTAACAGCTATCTCATATATTCGACTCGACCAAAGAACAATTCGAAAAACTATAGTATTCGTGTTGATGCATTCGATAAGGCTTCATTGGCATATCTCGCTAGTTGGCATTTGAATATTCCATTTCTTTTTCTACCTGTCAATCGACTAGCTGCCATGATCACTATCCCATCTTATAGACCTTTGAGTTTGAATAATTGTGCCTTTTCATGTTACAATGGTGTTTGCACGAAATATATTAACAAAGAAAAATTCTTTTGCAAATGCTATTCAGGTTGGTCCGGAATTCAATGTCATCTACGTGCGTATTGTAGTGATTGTTCGTCTGACTCGATTTGTGTTGGTTCAATAGCAAATCGATCGATTTGTGTTTGCCCTTTGAATAAATTTGGGCCACGGTGTTTTCTCAAATATTTATGTCCGAACAACTATTGCAAAAATAATGGTCAATGTGTTGTTCTTGATCAACGAATGACTGAAGAAAGCTTCTTTTGCTTTTGTTCTGAACAGTTTTATGGATCACAATGTGAACATCCTAAGGGGGAGCTACGTATTTTCTTTCACAATATGGTTGTTCCATCGTATCTATTTGTTATTATGTTTTTAAGAACTGGTTCTGAATCACCGATACCATTATCGACAATATTGCTAAAATTAACTATGTTTCAAGATCAAATAATATTATACCCAGATTATTGGTTTCAAATTGTTTTTGTAAAAATTGATAATAATTATTATTTAGCTGTTCTTCAAGAATTTCAAGTGTCAAATATTTCAACTTCGATCGGTCCCGATCGACGATGTCTGTCAATAGATGAGCTTCTCAATTCTTCACAATTGACTATGCCTAAAATTCAACGAGCAAAATTCTATCATATTCCATGTCAGATTTATCTTGGTCTTCAATGTTTTTTTGACGAATCTTACATGTGTTTCTGTACTCGAGAACGTCATGCAAATTGTTTCAAATTTTCTTATGCAAAACATTTTCTCTGTCACTATAATATTCACTGTTACAATGGAGGAACATGTTTACAAGATAGATCTGTATGTAGTTTTAATACAATATGTATTTGTATGGATTGTTTCTTTGGTGATCGATGCCAATTTTATGCTAAAGGTATTGGATTAACACTTGATGATATGTTACGTTATGCAATTCGACCGTATATAAATTTTAATGATCAACCATATTTAGTTAAAGTAAACGCTATTCTTATAACGATTATGCTTATCATGGGTTTATTCAATAGCATTTTATGCTTTTTGACATTTTATAGTCAAGAATCACGGGAAGTCGGGTGCGGTATATATATATTTGCATCATCAATTACTTCTGCTCTTGAAATAACTATGTTAACAATAAAATTTTGGTTTGTTATCATAAGTCAAATGAATTTATCAGTCAATCGTTCTACTCTTCATATGGGATGCATTCTTCTTGAACCGGCTCTCAACCTTTTTTTATATATGAATAATTGGTTAAATGCTTGTGTGGCCACAGAAAGAGCAGTAACTGTATTCAAAGGCATTCATTTCGATAAGATTATGAGTAAATCTGTAGCTCGATGGATAGTTCTACTCGTAGCATGTCTTATTACAGGTACAATCATTTACGAATCATTAGATCGAGGTTTGTTCGAAGATCGCGAAGAACAACGTGTTTGGTGTGTAACTCATTATTCTGAAACTGTCAAACATTTCAATATAGCTGTTCTAATCATTCATTTTCTTACACCATTCGGTGTCAATCTCTTATCAGTGATCTTCATTGTTTCTGCAATTACTCATCAACGAGCAATGATTCGCACTCAACATAACTATACACGACATCTTCGTGAACAACTCTATCGACATAAACATTTAATTATCAGTCAGCTTATTGTAGTCATCCTATCACTTCCTCGTTTCATAACATCATTATTCACTGGATGTGTCAAAGACTCGCATAATTCATGGTTATACATATCTGGTTATTTAATTTCGTTTCTACCATCAGCTATTATGTTTATTGTATTTGTCTTACCATCAAATCGTTACAGGAGACAATTTAAAAGATCGATAGAAAGTCTACAACAATTATACAGTTGATTATGAATTTTCATTTTCATGTAATACTTGAATTGTTGTCGTTTTTCTTAAGAATGAATGTTTCTATGTAGTTCAAGTGTTTCATAATAATCTCAACAAAGACAAGATGCGCTAAATCGGAAACTATCTTGAGGGTATGGGTAGTGCGTGGATGTGGGTGAGAGTTCATTTAAGAGATTAACCAAACCCACACCCATATAATTTTCGTTGAGATAGTTCTCATGAAACTGTAAAAAAGAATAAAGTTAAAGTTAAATAAACATGGTTTTCTATTTTATTTAAATATCTTTCTTCAACTCTTTCTAAACAAATGAATATTTTTAAAAAAATTCATTTAAACAGTAAAAGTACAAGTTTTTGATCGTTTTAACACTCTCAAACTGGTAATTTCAAGCTAAAAATGACGTTTCTGGCACTTTAATAATTAGTATAAATGGTTTACAATCATACTCCCCTTTCTACGTTTAAACGCATTTGTTCCAAATTTTCATCTCTTTAACTTAGGATCAGGAGAGAAATAGATTAAATTGAATACTCTTAAATGATTTCTAAGAGATCAATTATCTTAGATCTTTTTTAAATACACATATATTAAAAGCATAGAAAAAAAAATTTATTTCTTGAGTTAAAT